ATCTATCCTAAGTATCATCCAGTATCGGTGCCAATACCGAGTATTTGGGCGAGTACTCGCATTAGCCCAAATGCTCCAATGCCTAGCCTGATACTTCCTGTATCAGGAAGCCGGGCAGCATGTAATGACGCGCTGCCCGACATCCTGATTGGTCGGGAAGCTGGCCAATCAGACTTTCTGATTGGCCGGGAAGGCGGCTTCATGCTCCCTCATCACCTCATGACAAGGGAGCATGGAGCCGGCTTCCTGGCCAATCAGGAAGCCGGGCGCCACCTCATTACAAGGCACCTGGCTTCCATGATTGACCAGCAAGCCGACTCCATGCTTTCTTGTCACATACATGAGAAGCATGGGGATGGCTTCCTTGCTAATCGGGAAGCCGGTGGCGAGTCTTTACACGGCAAGTACCAGAAAAAAAATATCGGTACTGTAATACCGCTATCGGTGCATCCCTAATCCTAAGTGTCAGGCCTAAAACTGAATTATAGTTGACTATGACTAACAGACACTGCGTGGAATCAAAAGAAGAATAAATAAGATCTTTATTCTACATGAGTAAATACATAATTGTACAAGGCTGAATGAAACACTATAACCTACAGATCTCTGTTGACTTAGCGGAAAAATATTCAGAATAGTATGTACTTAGTTATGAGATATGCTTAAAAAAGGTATTATTCATCTCTATGTGGGCAGTGCTTATAATGATAACAAGAAAAAAACTGAACAGAGTATTAAAGGGCAAATAGAATGCACAGTTACGCACACAGTCCCTATGAATAAACATGTGCTGTAGTACAAGGAACAGTGGTGATACTCAAATGAGGCAAAGCTAGAGGATATACATTGTATCAAACCTGATGAACTGACATCCACCCTTCAAAGGCCATTAAAGTGAACAGGCTCATTTACAGTATGAAGCAATAGGTGCATATACCGACCTTCTGACAGTAAAGCTAGGAAAGTCTGACAGGGCTATTCACAAAAGGGTGAATAGTTTGGAGAAGAGAAAAAGTAAGAAGCTTGGACAAGTGAAAAATCTAGGCCAAAATAGCTGATTTGGAAAAATTCTCCAATTCTGCTCACTTTGCAGTTCAGCTATGTTGTCCTAGATTGTTCACTTCTCCTGCGTTCTCCAAACTCCTTATCCTTTTGTGAATAACCCCCTGAGTACTTTCAGGTTTTTAGAAACATGTGACACTGCCTCCCCAACAATGCAGCGCTTGGTGTCTGAGCAGCCATTCTCCGGGTCTGCATGCTGTCATGTGCAGGTAGGGAGAGTGTGCAGCATTGTATAAGATTTAAGTGTGCTTAGTAGGAAACAGCTTAAACTGAAATCAATACATGATACGAGAAGTAAGACCTCCATACAGAAGGGTAAACTTATTACTTTGCCCAATATGGTCTAAGTACAGGTCCACTTCAACCAAAACACGACGTTTCTGCTTTTAATCCCATTGTATTGTTTTCATAATGTAGAATACTTGGATAAATCCATATCTTCCAACTTACCTTCCTATACATTAGAAAATATGCTGCTTTGTATTTACAATCACTTTTTTAAGTCGTGGCACCCTTTAAATGCAAAATCGCAGGGCACCCCAGTCTAACGTTATCGATTTTAAAGTGGAATTAAAGTCAAAATCAAAGAGGCTGTTTGACTGTTTGATCTAAAACTTTCACTGTCATGTACACTGAGTGGCCAGTTTATTATGACCACCTGACGTTTGTAGGCAAATTAGCTATAATTAGCTATAATTTCGCGCTGAAGTTGCTAAGTTGCTAGAGGGCCAGACCATTATAGATAGGGAAGCAGGTTGTTTACCACGACAGTAGAAGTGATTTTTTTCTGAAGCTATGGGTAAACAATGCAATTTAACAGCCTTTGAACGTGGGATGATTGTTGGCGCAAGCCATGGAGCGAGTATCAGCAAAACAGCAGAATTCGTTAAATGTTCAAGAGGGGCTCATTGTTAAAGTGTTTAAAGACTGGACTGTCAGCTGAAAATCTGGGTCTGAACGTGCGAATTGTGGCTGTCAGCGACTAGTCAATGTTAGGGCAGAACGGAGAGTGGCAAGACGGGTACAAGACAACAAAAGGACAACAGTGCAGTGTCAGATTCCTCGCATCGCCTTTCAACATCTCGTGGAGTCACGAGGCGGCCCAAAGAAGTCATCTCGTGGAGTTATCTCGTGGCCCAATGAAGTATTGATGGGGTGGTCATAATAATCTGGCCACTCAGTGTATATCTGTACAGTGGTACATATATTAGACTGTAAACTCATGTGGGGCAGGGACTCATTCTGAATGGATCTATGTATTTTGAAAAGTGCTGCAGGATTTAAATAACTAGCATAATGATAAAATATTTGAATACATTAACATAAATAAATACAATTATGTCTTCTATTTGAATACTGTTTGGCTGAAATAAAACACATAAGGACCATTGATTTAAAAATCTGCTTGAAATACAGAGTTGTTAACAAGTACCTATTCTAAAGATTCCAAATGCTCTCATTTCATTAATAGAATAGAAATGTATTTTTATGCTGAATAAGACACGTATTTAGTGTATATATAATGCAAATTTTATGCAAGTGTGATCAGCGATCCATGAGGAACAAAGCTTATAAATGGAAAGGGGTCACCCATCTTTTAAAATGCAAACGATGTAACTGGATTTTATCATAAAGAACATCTAAAATAGGTGAGTAATTAAACACTCATTTTGGGCATACTTAGCATTAGTGAAGCCTCTACTAAAGATGCTGATGCAGCAGCTTTCAGTCAGTTTTTATGTCCTTCAGAACTGTAATTGTTCCTGATTAAAACTGAGACCTGCCTTTCACTTACAGTACATGATTAATAATGGAGCAGAAGTTTAATCCCTATATATTTTGCCTTCCCTAGTTCGTCCCTCTACCCCTCATCAACATGATAATTACATTTTGTAAATAAAACCTTACTGTTTTCATTACATACCTTAGTTTAGACCCAATTACATCATCATTTGCTTCTCTAAGGTGGTTCTCTCTCCAACAGAGGCAGATCATGGCTGATGGGAGGGCCTGGCAGGGTGCAGTATATAGCTTTCTGAAAACATCAGAGTGCCCTGCATCAGTACTACTCTCAAGAGCCTTTAGCACTAATGCAAGCAGTGGGCTGACCCTTGTCAGGATCTATACAAATACCAATATGCCTTGATGGGGTGGATGTCAGTCTGAAGGAGTTAGGGTTATTGGGCAGGCTGCATTTGCATGCATACTGCACAAGGTAGCACTGGGGAAAGGTGTGGGCCAGGGATAGTAATGCTGGGAAGGAGCTAGATAATGCTGGATGTCCTCCAGCTAGAAAATGACTTAAGGCAGTTTCTAATGAACATTATAAGAAAGCTCACAGTTGCAGTGAAACTAGAGCAAGCAGTGCAGTAAAGGAGCATGTACAACTGTGCAATACTGAAGGTAAGGCTGGAGTTCAGCTTTAAGTGGTGGAACTTTCCACTTACAAGGTAATATTTAGCAAGGAAGCACCAAAACTATTACCAAAACCACAAAACCAGGACCTGAGATTAAATAAGTTGTCACCAGCCTCATAGTCACCATTGATCAATTTGCAGATAGCGATCGTGTCTCCTTTTAAGCGCCTCCTCTCTAAGATAAAAAAGTGAGGTCCTACATCCCCCTAATTAATTGTGTTGTCTTTCACTGGACTCTCTTCAATTCTAGGACATTCTTTGTGTTGATTGGTGTCCAAAACTGGACTGCATGCTCAACATAAGACTGAACCAGTGTTTTGAAAAGGGGTATGAGCATCGATTTACCTCTCAAATAAATACTCATTTTTTAATCCCTTTTGTGTGGCTGCTGCTGCCCAAAATACTGTTTCATTTTTGTTATAAAAAATAAGAAAAGAAGAAAGTAAAGGTGACACATGTTGAACCCTTCCATGGTGTGTATGGTGGATTTATACAAAAAAAAATCAAGAAACATTTAATACACAGGCAGTAATCTGGCCCAAAAGACGACCTGTGACAAGGAATTAGCAAAAAAGGGCCTTAAGAACAGCCTTGTTACAATTAATTTTTATTATGCAAATCAAGAGTTTGATTAAAAAAATAGCCTACGATCACCATTTGATTTTAGAGAGATAACCAAATCAGTGATTTTTCGGGCATGTCCTTTAAAGAAGAACTCCAAGTAGACAGCTAAGTACACTAATGAAATAAATAAATGGGAGCTGTTTTGTCAAAGGATTTACATTTTTGTTGATTTAGTTTTCAGATTTACACATCTATGCTACACTTGACAGTCCTGTCTGAAAGGGTGGGAGACATGATTTTTCTCTGCTGCATTTACGTAACAATTTCAGGTCTTGTCCCTCCCCCAGGCTGTTACTGGCCAGTGAAAGGACAAACAAATGATCTCTCTGTCATTCTGTTCCTATCAGAATGTCCCTTGTTAGCACATGAACATTACAGCACAACTGATTGGCTCCTTGTGTTGCTTCTTCCTCTCCCAGTCTAAGCTTTTCTGTGCAATGGAATGCAAATCGCTGATACCAAGTCAAATTCAGTTACTTACACCGCTTGCATTTAAAAAGGCATTTATTGGTTTTAATGAATACAGAGCTGCATATATTTGTGTATTTTATATCTGCCTGGAGTTCACCTTTCAAGGCAATGAAGCTGGTTACTAGGGAGCAGTTGGGATTATCTATCATGGAAACTGAAATATCTTTAAGCACAGGATTTCTTGGCCATTACTGGGGAGCTTTGCCCTGGCTGGATACAAGTTCTTGTACTTTATGATCAGAATGGGCTGGATAGAGTAAATTACAGTTTCTTCAAAAAAGAACTTCAAAATCCATATTTGTACAGCACAATAAACCCCTCTATTCTATATTTGCATTCTGTTAGATGTAGAAGTAGACACGAGTAGAGTTCAGTACATGGGCATAACTAAACATCACAAACATATCCTTAAAACTTGCTTCTTACCTTCAGAAAGGAATCCAAGGAACCATTTTCCATGTATTCTGTAATTATCATGACCGGTTTGCCTGTAGAGTGAAACATAAATAATCAAATGTTTGTTTAACCCCTTAGTGACACAGCTTCAGAAATGTTTTTGTTCCTGGAGACCGGAGCAATTTTGCCATTTTTGCTAAGTGTTTTTTTAACCCTAATTTCCATCTTCCTCATTCATTGCACCTACACATATTATAAACCGTTTTTTGGGGGGACAAAAATAGCTTCAATTTGATGTACATATGCATATATACATTTTTATTATTTTTATAAAAAAATACAAAAAACATAATTTTTCACAGTTTTGGCAATAATAATGAGTACATAATCAGTGTAGCTAACAGAAAGTAATTCATAATAAATTAATTTATTTGTGCTTATTTATAGTGTATATCAAATGTCTGGGATTGGAGCTTATTTGGGGATTTGTAGGACAAAGATTACAAAGTAGTGAAATACAATTTTAGTGCGGAACAATTTTAAAAAGGGGTATGTATATGCTAACTTAAATAGCCTCTTAGGCACTATATTTTCTTGTCATTTTTTTTTAAACTTGTTTTTTTTCCTTTTTTAAACTTTTTAAAAAGTTATAATTACACCTAGAGGGGGCACTAACGGGTTAATTTTTTATTCACAGGGGCTTTGGATATTTACTATTCTGAGGAGACACTGTATTGTTCTCAGAGATACTTTTTGATCATACTGGTCCTGAGAAAGCCCCACCAGCTGCAGTAAACCTGAAGAGAAGCTTAGCTGCCCTCTGCCTAATAATTAAACATCAAACCATCAAAAACAAATTCCCAAGCAAGTCCTCAGAAACCAGTAATAGTTGAAACTTGAAGGAATCGGTATGACTTTTCAAAAATGTTAAAGCCCAAATGAAGTCATAGATACATGCAGTAGGGTAAACATCGTACCAACAACCTCTATTTTCTTAGGCTTACCTATGCTTGTCTGCTACAGCAGTTGTTCAGGGTTTTTTAGACGGGGTAGTCTACTGCTACCAGGGCAGATGTCAAGGGCATAAGGACACGCTAAATGTGTCCCACTTCACCATGCATCTTTTATATCGCATTCCTATTCTTGATTTCATAACAAGGGTGTTGACCAATTACTGTTACAAAGTCTTTCACATCCAATAAGTATCTGATGCAAGCTCTGACTGCTACCCTACCCATAAAACATAAAAAATATTTGCCCAGTCAAGCTGATTGACAGGCTAACAACCACCTAATTTCTATAGACACGTTAAACAGACCTTTGGAAATATACACAATAGTTCCCCGTGGCTAAGCTATAACAAGGGCTAGGCAATAATCTCTGCATAATTTAAATCAACCATACTGTCCACAATGTATATAACAGTAAGGATGGTTGTGTAATTATGTGTAATGGCTATATTTCTTTCACTGTCAGATTTACGTGAATGGATACAAGCAAACCATTCGCTAGCTTATAAGCAATGGTGTGTGTGCGAAAGTAGTAATACCTGTTAATTGATCAGCCACTTTTCTCAGCAGCCTCCCGAACAGATGGAAAGATGGCTAATGGTTATGTGCTTTGTGTGAATAACGCTTAAGATTTTAGTAGCACATCAGCTCTGCAGTAAGATGCTTCTTTTAATGATTCCCATCAAGCAGAGGGTCTAATTACTGACATTAGGTTCAGACAATCATTGGGTATAGATTTCCAGCACTAATTGTAAAACAGATACCAAGATAGACACCCTCATTAGTCTGTGCAATCACTGTGCATGATAAAGGTTCATTTACATATCGAATTAACTAACCCTTCATCAAACTGTTAACCTGGATATGTACTTTTACATTTAAAGAATGCTGAAGTTTTAAAACGAGAAAACCTATTAAAGGGAACCTGTAGTGAGAATGTATAGCGATTTCCATAGTTGACATCTACTTCTGTCAATGCTAGGTCCTCGTCAGTCATAGTGATAGAATGACTTCAGGGCTTGACTGAAGCCAGATTAGGAATTAGGAGTAGGAATTCTAATGTTGCATTCCTAGATTTGCATACTTGCTCCAGGTCTGTGTCTTATGGTGTTAAATCAGAGGCAGGCAGGCCAGTAGCATTTTTAGAAGGAGGAAAGGAAAGGCAGCCTCTGTAGATGTTTACATTTCAAGGTCAGAAAGCCAGCAGAGCGTTTTAGTTGTTTAGCCCCAGGGTCCTCAGTTTGTGCACACGTGGGCTTCATCCCACACCACAAAGACATGCTGGTTACTTAGCCTTAGTGTGTAACTGTGTATGTATGCATGAGAGGTAGGGATCTTGGAGTGCAAGTTTCTTGGGGGCAGAAATGAGCTGCATGTGCAGTATGTAAAAAGTTCTCTGCTCACTGAGCAAGACTGCTCAGTGAGCAGAGAACCACCAATTCTGTGGCAGTGAAACCTTCCTGTGAGACAATATAAGGGTTTTGTTTTACATACCTGCCCAGTCTACATGTATATCTGCAAAAAAAAAAAATCAAGACAACTGGACTTGCTGTATTTTCCTTGAAAATGTTTTGCTGGTCATCTGACTAGCTTTCTGAATTCAGAAAGCCAGTCGAATGACCAGCAAACCATTGTGAATCTGTTGCAAAGTGCCCTACCAGGAGATCCTGTCAGTAACAGCATTTCCCGTTACAGAAAGAAAATGCTAAGCCTCTGCCTTGCAATTGGCAGCATTTTCCATCTGCTTTGTGCGCATCTTCAGTTGGCTGTTAGGCTGCCAACTGGTCTTTCAGATAAGCAGTTAAACGCCAGACAAACGCCAATTGAGGGAGCTTGCATGGCAGTCTACCAACACTGTCATTGGACAGCTCAAATCACAGTCCCAATGTACAAAGCCAATCAGAGTGCCTCTGTACCTTGTGATCGCTGTGAACCAATTACAGCCATCACACGTATAAACTCTAGTAGTGTATAGAGACATTCAGCCCATTCACAACAAAGGAAGCTCCCATAGTGAAAGGGCTGAATGTTTGTAAACACAGAAGAAAGGAGGATCGTGGCAGATTGAAGGTGAAGGTGGGACGTCTTAAGGTGCCACTGTTTTTAAAGGTAAAGACATGAAAGGTACATGTAACCAAACCCATTTTTTTCCTTTATACAGCAAAAAATAAAAAAATGGTTATTAAATACCACCAAAAGATAGCGATGTCTGTCTCAAAAAACAATATAAAATTGGTTGCTGTATTGCATGGCCGAGTATTTGTCAGTCAGACTATCTTAGGGATGAAAATTAGAGAAATATCTTGGTAATGAAAGGTGAATATACAGGTTGGCACTAAAGTGTTTAAGAAAAGTATAAATTGAGGCAAAACATACTGAAATATAGATGAGATGGTTACTTTGTGGATAGTGGATGCTAAACCCTTAAAAAATCCCTTCATAGACTTGCAAGAGTTAATTATGTTTATTTTCAGATCCCCGTGTATCTCCTTGGAGAAGTTCACAGATTTTGGGTACAAACAAAAGCACAGGGAATATAGCATATTAAATGTATACTATTTTTGCATTTACTTTGTTCAGTACAGGACAAAAAAAAATTAATTTCTTTTTGTCTTTCATTTCTTCTAGTCAGGTCAGTCAAAGTCAGAAAAAAAGAATATCCGAAATTTCAAACATATTATTTCCTACAAGCAGATGGCTCTTTACTAGGCTCATTTTCACATATTTACCAGGCTACCCTTAACTGCTTAGCAGAAAAAATGCTGTTTACGGAGCTAGATAGATGAAACTCAAATTACACAAAGGTGTCTCTGACCCCCTCCCTCCCTGCTCTGTATGCTGGAAATGGAGTTTCAATTAGAGAGAGACAGTCACAAAAGGAGAAGCTACTGCTATGCTGTTTAGGAAACCCAGTATGCTATGCAAAACCTGTTACACATCTTATATTAAATGTTCATTTGCAAAATATAAAAACCTGTATTAAACATGATTAACAATGTGTAAAAAAAATATTGGCCTAAAATCAAATGTCCAAAACTTTCCACAAGCCACATTTTTGTATCTTGTTAAAGTTTGGGTATTAAAACTTTCAAAAGTATGTCATATATAAATCCGAACTGGTAAGAAAGAAACTAATAGTATTGTAAAAGCAACCTTTTTCCTTATCTTAATCCTTCATTGCTTTAATTTGTCATGCAGAAGTTTAAACTCGCCTTTCAAAGATGCTACAAATCGTGCTGTAGGTCAGCAGTTTCCAGTAATGAAGATTGGTCACCACTGTTTTCTCTCCTAGAACAGAGCAAGCAGTCTCACCTCCTTGTACCTCTTGTAGCCTAAAGTGGACACCTTCTACTGGTGGTCAGAGATCAAAGAGTAGTGGGAAGGAAGTGAATAAATTAAGAAGAAGAAGAATGGATCTTCTTGCCATACAGTCTATTAACAGTTTTTTCGATTGCTGCTGTACATTGGAAGAGGGAGGTTTGCCGGGAAGAAAGGGATAATCCTAGACTTCGAATTTAACTGTCTTATCTGCCTCACCCTACTATTTATACCTAAAAAAACAAAAAGTTTTGCTTTATATACACTTATACACTTGAAAGACTGTATTATGGGTAGAGGTTACTTGTTAGGTTCCAGGATGTGTGTTTATGTCAAGGGTATGGTTAAGTGTTAGGTTATTGTTACTAATAAACAGGTGCAAGCAGTTCCATGGACTTATCTTTAAATTTCTGCATAGTCTCCATAAATTAGGGACAGTTGATAGCAGGAAAATGCATAATAACCTAAAAAGAGGAATTGCATATTGGAGCTTACTTTCAGGCTGTGCTCTGAAAGTGTGCTATAAGCTAATTTTATTCATTGCCAGCTCGTAATGAATTTTTACACTTACAGGAAAGATGATACATTTTATACAACACCGCAGATACATTTTTTTAAATAATTTATAACAAGGACAAAAGATTCTTAATAAAAGAAGCATAAAAGAATAGGAACCCATCAACATTATTTACAATATACTTAAAGTGACGCTAAACTCAGGAGTTAAATCTTAAAATTGCATTCAAGTTCCTTAACTATTAACA